CCAGCACGACCTGCAGGGAGACCTGGGTGAACATCCCAGGAGGTGACATGGCATCATATGTGCCTTGAGCATTCGCCTGAGCCTTGAAAGTTTTGCCCAAAGAAGCATCGGAAAGCCCTCATAGCCCAAAGCCCGCAGAACGAAGGAGGTTTGGCAGACTAGACATCATGCCAACGTTTGTACAGCTTTAGAGTGCCCTCTGCATGCAGTTTGTTCAAAAACAGAAAAAGGTTCAGAGCACACCCGAACCTAGTAGTAGTAGTAGTAGTAGTAGTAGTAGTAGTAGTAGTAGTAGTAGTAGTAGTAGTAGCAGTAGCAGTAGCAGTAGTAGTAGTAGTAGTAGCAGCAGGAGGAGTAGTAGTAGTAGTGGCAGTAGTAGTGGTAGTAGTAGCAGCAGTAGCAGTAGTTGTAGGAGTAGCAGCAGCAGGAGGAGGAGTAGTAGTAGCAGTAGTAGTAGTGGTCGTAGGGTAGTATAGGCGCCCCCCCTCCGGTACCAGCGACACCTGCTCTAAACCATCTCTAGAGCACATCCATGTTATTCGTTATTTGCGGTACTTTTGTAATGTCATACCACTTCTTGTTGTCTCAAAATCCATTTGTCGAGTTGCAAACTCGTGCTTCGGGTTTTGGAAGGGTTCGGGGGAGGGGGGGTGGGGTAATGACGCCTCTATTCGTCATTTACAGCACTTGCTCGCGGCCTCAAATATCCATGTGTCGACTTTGCCAGAATTTGTGCTTGTGATGATGAACGCCTGGTTTGAGCCAGCAGGTCGTTGGTAGGGGGGGGTGGCTCGTAGTAGTGGTAGTAGTAGTGGTGGTAGTGGTAGTGGTAGTGCCAGTGGTAGTGGTAGTAGCAGTAGCAGTAGTAGTAGTAGTAGTAGTAGTAGTAGTAGTAGTAGTAGTAGTAGTGGTAGTGGTCTAGTGGTAGCTCATGAGTCTTATGGTTATGATACTGATTGTGCTTATGATGATTTTGTAACATTTTGTTTTTTGTGATCGGCCATCTCGAGCAGGAGCTCCTTCTACCGGGCCATGCAGCTTTGCCAGGGCGTCGTGTTGGCGCTTTCGCTGCACTTTCTGTTTAGGGTTTAGGGTTCCTAAACCCTGCTGCACTTTCTGCTGATATGTGCGGCCGTTCCCACGGCCCAGCAGGAAAGTCTTCCCGCTTGGACCAGTCCTTCCGGCCGATACTATAGGGATTTGGTCACTACGGGTGTTGGCCGGCACCATTATTAATGTGCCCCTGGCCTTGACCCATGTGACGGTGAATGTGAAGGATAGCGTATGGGGGTCGGGTGATTCCGACGACCAGGTGGGGGCAGTCCAGTCTATGGTTGGGATAGCAGGCCCCGAGGACCCACGTCGGTCCGTCTTGCTGAACATACCCCTGCCTTGGAGCAGATAATATCTCTTCGGAGAGGGGACGCGGGTCCGCTTGAACTGGTGGGAACGTGAACTCCAACTGGAGCCCCGATGACGCTTGCGGAGGGGCTGCGAAGGCGGGAGGGATGACGCCTTACCCATGGCTGTCACACCCCGGCCACTATCCATCCATCCATCCATCCATCCATCCATCCATCCATCTGCTGATATGTAAACCCGAGGCTTTGGCTTGCATTGTAAAACTCTCCACTCTTCGGAATTGCAGGGTTGTTAGCGTTTTCCGGGCCTCCTGCACGAGTTTTTGATGAATGACAATTTCGTCTTGTTAGTTGAAGTTGTTGGGATACAGTCAGAAGCACGTCTGCTTCCCGTCGGTGGCAGATGACTGGCGTTGTCACATCGTGAGGGCACGATCTCAAGCTGTGGAGCTTCGGGAGGCCCAGAAACTATGGACCGCGGTCTGTTGACACGAGCCCGAAAGCACCAACATCTGTTGCTTCGAGACCTGAAGAAACACGGAACATGGCAATTTTCAAGCAACTGACCCTACATACCTGGACCTTCATTTCTTTAAAAAATTAAAAACCCGAAGTTCTAAACCCTTAATCCTACACCCCAAACCCTAAACCCCAGATCCAAAAACCTAAAGTCTACCCAAAGCCCCGACCCCTCGTCTGAGAGCTGTCTCTGTCTGAGGTTCTGGATGACCGGGCGACTCCCTTCCTCAGGATTTGGTGCTGCTTTCTGGCCTGGTCAGGGATGACGGGTTTGGCCGTTTAAACGTAGGGCAACCTGACACCCTCAGCCTGGCCGGGTGTGCGCCACCCATGGTGGTTGTGGGTGGAATCAAGTGTGCTTGTGAGCCCCTCACCCCTGACCCTGAACCGTAAACCCGAAACTCCTTAAGCCGTAAACCCTCCAAACCCATGAATCATCAGCCTCAAACTACAGTAAACCCTAAACCCTGAACCTTAAACCCAACACCCTCAAACCCTAAACCCTAAACCCTAAACCCTAAACCCTAAACCTTAAACCCAACACCCTCAAACCCTAAACCCTAAACCCTAAACCCTAAACCTTAAACCCAACACCCTCAAACCCTAAACCCTAAACGCTAAACCCTAAACCCTAAACCTTAAACCCAACACCCTCAACCCTAAACCTTAAACCTTAAAAACCCTAAACCCTAAACCTTAAACCCTAAAGGTCCTGAACCCTCAAGCTGCCCTGAGAGCCCCAAAAGGCGCTGCCCATGGCCCTTTCAGGGCTACTATGCGGGACCATAAGGGGGGTATTATGGGGACTATGCGGGGTATGAATGGGGGTCTATAAGGGGTATTATGGGGGACTATAAAGGGTACTAATGGGGGACTATAAGGGGTACCAATTGGGGACTATAAGGGGCATTAATGGGGTCTACAAGGGGTATTAATGGGGGACTATAAGGGGTTCTATGGGGGTTTACTGTAGGGGCCTCAAAAATTGGAAGAGGGTTACGATGGTCTATAAGGGCTACAAAAATCTATAAGGGTACTAAAAAAAAAGGGGCCTTATTAACTGGACTAGGGTTTTGGGGCATATTATGCTACAGTTATAAGGAGCCCCCCACCAAGGCTTCGAGGAGGCCATCGCCGTAGAGCATCGGGATGCCAGCGACGCGCGGCGCCGTCTGCTTTTGGATCCCCGGCGGCACAGGGTTTCGGGGGGTTTGGGGCTTTGGGGGTGCAGTAGTTTGGGCTTTGTTGAGGGTTTGGTTTTTTTTGTTATTTAGGTTTTGGGTTTTGTTGTTATTTAGGGTTTGGGTTTTGTTTAGGGTTTGTTTTTATTGTTAGGGTTTTCGGGTTGGTACTTGGGGTTTGTATGGAAGTGCAGTCATGAAAGCTGACGTCTGTGTGCTTAGACCGTCTGGCGATTGCACAAGTCCTGATGCAAAATAAAGGACTCGTTCGGAAGAAGCTGCGAGGACCTCAAGAGAAGTTGTTTAGGGCATAACTACCAATACTATTTTGGGGGTTTCCTTATTCTAACTATAGTATCATGGGCCCCCAAACCATATTTTACTTGAAGGCTCCTACAGTACCAGCTTCCAGACGCATTCGCTGCTGCGGAATGTATGTATCAGGGGTGTTCGTGGGGATTTGCTTGGCTGGGAGTTTCTTACTCTAGAAGCCCGAACGGCGACAAATGGTGAACTGTTCCCCAGGGTTCCTTTAGACTGTGCTATGATACACCCCAAGACTCCACTCTAACTTTGAAGGCCCCCATATCATATAGCTTTGTTTGTCGAGGCGTTGGATTCTTACGGTTCCGGGGGGTTGCAAGAAGGTCTTGGAACAAGCGTACCCTAAACCCTAAGCCCTAAACCCTAAACCCTGAACCCTAAGCCCTAAACCCTAAACCCTGAACCCCAAACTGATTTCTTTATTTAAGTCCTTAAAAAGGTAGGTTACCTGGGGTTAAGGTATATATGCTTTCGGATTCAAGCTGCCGAAGCTTGCGGGGCTCAGCCCTAAACCCCCAAACCCCAAAGCCCAAACCCCTGAACGCGATGACTGTGAATCTGAACACAAGGTTTAGTGTTTAGGGTTTGGGGGTTTACGGTTTAGAGTTTAGGGTTTAGGGCCCAAATCGAACTGAGGATGTTTGTGCCACAGATGCGGATGGTGCCTTCGGCAAGCATGCAGCAGCCCGCGAGCTCAAGCCACCTGTGCTTCCGGCAGGATCCTCTGTAGAACGCAAGGCGCGCAGATCACGCATTACTTTTGGGGGCATTAATAGTTGATTATACCATTTTGGGGGTTCCTTGTTAGAAGTGTAGAAATAATTGGCCCCAAAGCCCTATTCACTACGCAAAATTTTTAAGGCCCTGAAGTTCAACCCCAGTCGAAGGTTACAGCTCCCTTAAGGCCCGAGGGCACAAGCCTCCCCAAGGGAGGGTAAGGGGACTTGGCATTAGGATACCCCCCAAACCTACCTAAACCCCATAAAGTTGGAAACCGGATTAAGGACAAATAGTGCTGGGATTCCTTATGCATTACCCTTAAGGATGGAGGCTGTGGGGTTTCCAACTTTTTGGCTTCTACTGTACGTAAACCCTGAGGATTCTGGAGGGCCGAAGGCTCAAGGCGGTGGGGTGGCCCATTATATACGATTAAATATAATAAGGACCCCCCCCAAGATAGTATTGGTACTTATTTAGGCCGGGGCTCTACCAGACATCCGGTGCAAAAAGTCATGTGGTGGTCTCATGTAGATTGCAGCTGCTCCCCGCCTTTGCGGCTCAAGAGCTGACCGTTTCGGAGCCATGGAGACAGCGAGCAGCTTGCCCGAAGGAGAGATCACCTGGGACCAGATCTGGGAGGCTCTAACCAACTGGGCGTGGCCCGGGGGGGCCACGCCCCACTGGCAGCACATCCAGGAGATCACCAGGGAGTCGGCCACGAGAATTTTCAGCGATGTCTACTTCATCGACTATGCAAAGATCCCTGCCATCACGATCCCAAGGAAGGAGGAAGCCCCAAAGAAGGAGGAAGCCGCAAGCACGAAAGGTCAGGCTAAGACCTTGGTGTGGCGGGTGAAGAAGCAGGAAGCAGGAAGCACCCAAGAGAAGCAGCTGAATGTCGAAATGCTGTCGGGCCGGGCGGTGCAAATTAAAGTCCCCCCCCTTCCACCGTAAGCCAAGTGAAGCAGCGCCTGGAGCCCTGCCTTGGCATTCCGACCTTCCTTCAGAGCACTAGGACCCAGAGTAGGCCCTTATTCCCTTTTTTAGGGTTTAGGTCCCCTTATCAACCCCATTAAACCAAAAAGGGCACCCTTTTTATTCCTAGGTTACTCTTAGGTCTAGAGCATCCTTGAGGGTGCTGAAGAACTCCCGGACGAGGCTGTGGTGACTGGGGAGTCCGTGACGTGTCTGAAGCGGGAGCCGCCCAGGATTGAGGCAGAAGACTTCTTGCGCAGCATGGCCGACTGGCACAGCTCTTGGGGATGGAAGGACATCTTCCGTGAGTGGCACTCCTTCGACACGGGCGACTCCTTCCCGGATGCTAAGTCGAAGCTTTTGGAGTGGGTGTTGAAGTTCCGCAACATGAAGAATGTGCCCTTGTCCACCGACAACGTGCTGGAAGTCCTTGATGTCTGGCTCGCCAACAACGGCAAAGCAGGAGTGCACCCAGAAATCTTCAAGGAACATGTGGAGAAGTTCACCACATTCATGCGACATTGCTGCTACAGCCCGTCTTTGCTGGTGGCCTACAATGAGCCTTTTAGCCACGACGATGACCTAGAGTGGGTCTTCTTCTTCGTCGGCCGGCTGAGAAGTGAGTCGCAGACGTTCGTAGTGCAAAGCTTCCTCCTCAATTGTTGGATTTGAACCAAAGACTTCTACGATAGTTGTGGTCACCAGTGAAATCAATCCGGGGACGTGGTTGCAGCGAATCCGCAAGCTGCTCTTGCTTAAAGCTGGGCTGCCAGCGGTAGTTTTTTTTTGGTTTGTCTCGGCTGTTCCAGACGGTCGCGAGGGGAGGGGGCGGACTGCCACGACTCCCTGCCAGAGTTCGCAGAAAGGGGATTTTGTATTTTGGCCAGAGCGGGATCTGCACCCCTGCCAAGACCAAACCTAAACACTTAACCCTCAGCCCTGCAGAGAGCGGTGCAAGAGCTCCGGGGCGCCTAGCAGCTGGCTCGGCCGAGGCGTGTCCCACGTCCTTACCGACGGCCTGGCGGGCGTGGAAAGCCGGATGGTCCCACTGCTGGGTGCGCCTTGGGGGTTTAAGGGTTTACTATGGGCATATAGGAACTACAAGGGGATTAAAGGCATAGTAATAAAGGGACGATGAGGCGGACGTTGATTTGGGTTCAGGGCTTCAGTTTAGAGGGTTGGAGGGTTTCAGTCTAGCAAGTGAGTGCAAGCTTTGCAATCCTCGCAGTTTCAGCCTCCCGGTTTAGGGTTTAGGGTTGCATTAGGGATGCGGAAAACTGAAAACCCCGGGCTTTCAGATGGGAAAAGGGTTTGGGGCGTAGGGTTTACGGTCCCGAGGTGTTGGCATCTATAAAGTCCTGCGTGAAAGCGGATTAAGACCCTGACTGCAGTACCTCGCCAACTTTGAGTGCTGCAACCCTGCTACTATAGGAGCCTTACTAAATGGGTAGTTGTCAAAATCAAGGTCCCTGTTTGGGTACCCTAGATAGTAGGTGCCGGTATTATAATAGGGACCCCAAAAAGGGACCATAATATCGACATCCACCCAAATAAGATAGGATTGTGGGGAGTACTCTTATGGCATTTAGGCGAGTGCGAAGCTGAATTGAAGCACTCAGGGGAAGAGTGCTGGGGGCCAAACCGAATGCGTAGGAAACCCCCACATCCATGGACAAAGGCTTGCCCCAAGGGTTGGGGGGTTTAGGGTGGCAAATTTTGGGGGGTTTCTGGGGTCGGATCCTTGGAGTTTCGAACCACCGCGAAGTCGTACTGCAAGAAGCCGCCAGGTTTGCATCACAAGACTTGCAGAGAGATCACTTTCCCCATGAACATCCTGGAGCGAGGCGAGTTGGTCGCGGGTGCAAGTCTTTGGTTCTGCACGAAAGACCCCCTAAACCCTAAACCCGGACCCCTAAACCCTAAACCCCTGAACCCTAAACCCAAGAGTTGGAGGATTCAGTGTTGCTCATCGTCCTCGGCGACTCCTTCTAGTTCAGTTTCACTTGCCAGAACTCGAACCAACTGCCTCGCCTGGATTGTCCGAGTGTGAGCGCCGAAACCCTAGAGTTCGGGGCTTGGGAGGTCGGCCCCAAAGTAGTTCCCTTTTGGATAGTATATTAGAGTCCCTAACCAAAACAAAAAAGAGGACACACCCAAGAAGGAACTACTTTGGGGCGGTGAATGTGGGGTCTCGGGTTCCGCGGCAAGGGTCCTGCGATTTCCAGACGGGTAGACTCAGTGGCCATCATGTCACAATCACACCGTCGAAGCTGTAGGGTTCAGGGTTTAGGGTTTAGGATTTAGGTTAGGGTTTAGGATTGAGGGTTTAGGGTTGAGGTTTGAGGTTTGAGGTTTGAGGGGGCTTTCATACTTGCCATGCGCGCTTCGCAGGGCAAACTGCTGAGAAGGTCGCTTGCAACGTTCTTTCCTTTGCCCTGGCTCGCCTTTGCTTGAGAGCGACAGTCGTCGTCGTAGCACCACAGCTCTGAAATCTTTGACAGCGCAGCCTTTGCTCTTTTCTGTCTGGTTCTTAGAAGGGAAGGGGGGAAGGGGTTATAGAGAGTATCATCGGGGACTATATAGGGACTACTATAGGGATCCATTCCCCAGGCTCTTGTATTACCAATACTAATTTGGGGGTTCCTTCTTATATTGATAACATAATGGGCCCCAAACCCTATTGTAAGTATTCAGGCCCCTAACCCTACCTCTGCTTTGCTACTAGGAACCAGGGAGTAATTCACGGGACCGTAGGCTCTTTTGACGATTCGTGTGAGGCCTTTCCATCAATATCTTGGAGGCTACGGCCAGCCACCAACTGGACAGGACGGAGGGCCGGCAAGGAGTACTTAGGGTTCCCTTGAAAGGGTCCTTTCAGGGTTTATAAGGAAGCCATAACATGGTTCTATATAGGGCCTTAATACATACTTTCTTGTATCATCGGAAAGATAGTAAGAGTACCCCGTTGTCGGGGCCAGCTCGTTGGAAGTCTTCGTCTTACTTACCTTCATCGTCTTACAGTACTAGGTACCCTCACTGTGACTCTCATAACACCCGTATAGCAACTCGAAGTCGAAGCCCTACTTGGAGGATCATGGGACTTAGTAAGTCAGGTCATATGTACCTTAAGGTGGCTTATAAGTGCTTATAAGTCTAGTTACCACCTTATTTATAACCCCAGTTACTAAGTCCCATGATCCTTTAAGTAGGGTTTAGGGCTTAGGGTTGTGGGTAGTCACGATTCACGACATAGGAAGCTCTCATTCAACATCACATGAGTCGGTTAGGGTTTACGGTTCCGGGTTCAGGGTCTAAGCTACCCCCAACTCCTGAGTCAAGCACCCACCAGACCCGCCCTAGACTATCCGAGCGTAGGCGCCGAAACCCTAAACCCTTGAACCCTACACCCGTAAACCCCAACATAGGCTCCACCTGGTATTCCCTCTGGTAATGCAGTCGGAAAAGGGCCCGCAAAAAAAAAAAACTTTCCACCCCAACAACAACCCTAAACCCTTCAACTCTAAGCCGGACTGGGATGCTGAGCCAGGTCACCGACACACTGGCCCGTAACCCTGGACCCCCCAAGGTTCAGAGCATCCTCCCTGTTTAAGTTCTGACGGACCCGAATCCTAGACCCCAGGCCTAGAAAGGCCCTAAGCCCCCGAACCCTGAGCCCGACTCGGCCCGAAAACCGAAGGACTCGGATCCTAAACAGCATCGCGGACCCTTATGCCAGCATCGACCAGCTTTCGGAGGAGCCGCCGGAGGACTCTGGGTAGTGCTCGCCGCTTCGGGAGTAAGGTCTGCGCGCCTTTGGGGTTTAGGGCTTTAGTGGTATGGGATTCTAGATTGGACTAGATTGGACGTCTTGGTGCATGGCAGAGGGTCCGTTTACACCGTGATTCCATGGTGTGTCTCTGGCACAAGTCATGGTTTTGGCTCGGCGGGGTTTCTTGCAGTGATGTTTCGTTCTCCGTGTATAAGTAGTCGGCAGTATCCACCTTGAAGGAAGAGGCAGACATTCGCAATTCACATGTTGTCATAGGACGGCATGTATCAGTCTATGCCAGGCTGTTGCGCAGCACTGCTTTGCTGGTCTTGGGCTGTTGTCGAACCTACATATTCCCAGACCGCCGGGAGGATCCAAAAAGTAGATCCCTTAATGGGGATTCCTATAAAGTACCCTTAGTAGTATAGGGCCCCAAATTAGGGGAGCTACTTTCTAGATCCTAAACCCTAAACCCCTAAACCCTAAATCCCTAAACCCTACTTTCTAGATCCGCCCGGGGGTTGTGTTCAAACTTGGAAATGTGGTTTCATCCCTCTTTGACTTTGTCCGACTCCTGGAGCCCCTCCTGGAACCCTTGTGGGGCGTGTGCAGGAACCCAGAGACTCCAATATACCTTATATTAAGGATTATTCTTTTTTTCTAGTAGGATCCGTAATATGATTTAAGGTATATTCCCTAATTCAGGAATATCGGAGTCTCTGGGAACCCTTAAAGGACCTGCACCTCAAGCCTTTCTTTGGCTTCCGAGAACCCCTAAACCCTAACCCCTGAACCCCTACATCCTGAACCCTAAACCTCCAAACCCCAAACCCTGAACCCTAAACCCCAAACCCCCCACAGGATCACGTCAAGTATTCCAACGTGAACAACGCGCTGTCTGCACAGAGCATCGGACCGCACTTGGGTCTTGGTCTTCTCCATGTAGGGCTAGGGTTTAAGGTATCAAGACCTCCTCATTAAATTATGATATCCTTATAGAAGTCCTTAAACATGTAGGTTATTTGTGTGGTTAAGGTTGAACTTGTGGTCCTTCAAGGGTTGCAAGGTGGCTGGTAGGTTTGGGGGTTGTGATTGCGCCAGATCCAACGATCCTTGGCGCTAGCCTTCCTCCGGAATCCATTTTTCAAAGGGGACAAGGAGGGACCCTTAATGGGGACTCCTACCCTAGAATGGGCGATATAATGGGTATATAGTAGCTATATTAAAGGTTTTTTACCTAGGGGTCCTTGTTAAGGGTCCCTCCTTTCCCTTAAACTCCTAAACCCCCAAACCCCTGAACCCTATATACCCTTATAGAATCCCTATAGATCCCTTTTTGGGTCCCCCCTTTTGCCCTTGGAATTTTGGCTCTAGTCAACAACCGGGCCCCAGGTCTTCAGATTCTAGCAAGCCTCGCAGTCCCCCCTTCGCTTCCTCGCAGACGCCATGGCAAACGCTGTGCTGCCTGCTTCCAGCGACTATGACTACCTCTTCCGCATCCTGCTGATCGGAGATTCCGGCGTGGGGAAGTCCTGCCTCCTCATGCGCTTCGCAGACGACACCTACTCCGACAACTTTGTTGCCACCATCGGCGTCGACTTCCGTATCCGGACCATGTTCCTGGATGGCAAGAAGGCCAAGGCTCAGATTTGGGACACCGCCGGCCAGGAGCGATTTCGCACCATCTGCGCCAGCTACTACAGAGGCGCCCATGGGATCATCGTGACTTTCGACCTCACAGACCGCGAGTCCTTTCACAACGTGCGCCATTGGCTGGAGGAGATTGAGAAGTATGCGCAGCCTGGCATCAACAGGATGCTTGTGGGCAACAAGTGCGACATGGCATCCAAGCGGGCAGTCACCTACGACGAGGCACGTGAGCTTGCAGATGAGCTCGGCTTGC